CAGAATGCTCCTTAGAAGCGAGGATGGCGAAACTTTGTCTCACGTACTTTGGACATGTTATCAGGAGGGACCAGTTCCTGGAGAAGGACATCATGCTTGGTAAAGTAGATGGTCAGCGAAAAAGGGTTTTCCCTCAACCAGATGGATTGACACAGCGGCTGCAACAATGGATTCAAACAGCAATGATTGTGAGGATGGTGCAGGACCGGGCAGTGTTTCCCTCTGTTTTACATATGGTTGCTATCAGTTGGAACCGACTCATCGGCACCTAACAACAACGTTTTATTGTGAGATTATAACTTTATTTAGTTGACCGAATTGCTAGCGGCAAATGTTTATTTTCAGGTTTTCTGTATTATAGACAATGCTGTGATGAACATCCTTATACGTAGAGTGTTAATTTTGGAGTAAGAAAGAAATAGACTAAAAAATCAGAATGTAAAATTTTGGAGATCCCACAGGATCACAGTTGTTTAAAAAAAAAAAGCACCACAAATAAAAAATCTAAAAGTTCAGCCATGTTCACACGGGTTATTTCTGGGCAGAGGGACCGGGGTGATTTTGTTCTTTTGCTTACTCTTCTGTCCTTCATTATGTTGACTCAAGCAGAAATGTATTTTACCTCTGGAGGACTCTCTCTTTCCAGTTTCCTTGGCACCAGACTTGCCTCCATCTCTTTCCAGTTTCCTTGGCACCACACTTGCCTCCATCACTTGCAACTCTCTATCATTAGTTTGTCATGTCCTATCCCTCAAAGAGCTGTCATCCTCTCCAGGTCTCCCAGGGACCTGTCCTTAAGTTAGCACCAACGAGGCCCCACAGATGCTCAGTGGGTAGTTGTGGGCTGACTTGGAGTGTGAATTTGAGGCAAGGCGTTAATGGCTCCTGGGCTATGATAATCCCCTCAGGTGTCATCTGCATTTAACACAACCTCTCCCCGAGTTGTCCGCTTGTGGGGGAAGAAGCCTTGAAGGACACACAGGTGCATGAAGGCCTTTCCTGCCTCAGATCAGCAGCCCCGGGCAGCCCTCCAGATAGGTGCCCACCTGTCTCTGTCGGCTCCCTGAACTGACCTGGCCAGAGGGAAGATGGTTTCTTTGGGCAGCAGCCATCCCCTCCCCTAAAAAGTCTAAACGAATGCAGAGGATGTCCTCAGTATTTCCACAGAGGTCACCACGTTGAGTGGGTTGCTGTTTTATGTTTGGTTAGCGCCGAGACACTTCCTCTTTTCATTTATGTGTCTAATCCAGGCTCACCCCTCCCCTTGGAGACTGAAAAAGGGGAACGTGAAAGAAAAACTGAAAATTTCAGATCTAGCTACAGCACAGGAGACCCTGCTGTCATCCACAGGCAGGGGCTGGGGAAGCCACCCTGGAAATCACGACTCCTCCGTTGGTCCGAGACACCCTTGACCTGGGCCCTTCCCCTACCCTCATGCTAACTTGCTCAGCGCCCACCGAAGAATTCTTAAATGCTACAGGGGATCCTTGGCACCCCTAACACCTATTTTTCAGAAAGCATCATTCTTAAGGTCAAAAATAAAGTCTGTTTTGGTGCAGTGGTTAAACATTTGGCTGCTAACCGAAAGGTCGGCTGTTTGGAACCCACCAGCAGCTTCGCAGGAGAAAGATGCGGCAGTCTCCTTCTGTAAAGATCACAGCCTTGGAGACCCTACGAGTTAGTTCCACTCTGTCCTATAGGGTCACTATGAGTCAGAATCAACTTGATGGCAACAGCTATTGAGATTATTGTATACCTTATATATAAGTAAATCTGCGTATATATATGTACACATGGATGTACATGTGTACCTATATAATAAATGCGTGTATATGTAAATGTAAATCAGATTGTGACAGCTTTTGGAAACTGCCTGAGGCATAAAAAATAACTCGCCTGATAAGACATCAAAGAATTGCAAAAGAAGCCACAGCACCAAGGGCCTTAGTGACTGCTTAGCAATTTGTAGCATGATTGATGATAAGCATCTATTTGCTCCAGTAAGTTGAAGCAGAACTGTAACATTCTGTTTGTTTCCGGAAACAGTAACTGAAGTCACAAATCATAAATAATAAAAGATAGAAAAATCCTCTTTTAACCTGATGGACTAAGAGATTTCTTGCTTTTCATATCTGCTATCTGATAATGGCTTCTCTCTTGAGGCACTGCCAGAGCTGGCCCATTCCAGGCAAATCAAGCCTTGGTTTGCAAGCAGCACAGGGTCCAAGAGATTATTTCTAAGTTGGCTGTTTGGAATGTAGAATGTGGCTGGGTTCTCAGGTTTGCTCGTACAGTGCTCTTCCACCTAGTGTACCTGAGCTGGGTGTTGGAGGGCAGAGTTCTCTGCAGTGCAGGAGGAAGAAAGAGCCAACTCCTGCTCCTCTGCATGTAGCCTTGAATCTGAGCACAATTTAAACAGAACTTTCATTTCCATCTTGCCACTTCCCTTTTGGCATCCAGGTCCCAGCGCCCGAAATCCTTTGGATTGCAGCACCCTCCCCCAAGCCACCTCACCTCCTCTGGGCTGCTCTCCCACGTCAGGATCCCAAATTACCAGAATCAGAATCTGCACCCTCATTAGTGGGACCCTCAGGCTCCTTACTGAACTCTGCTTCCAGAACACTGACAGTGAGTTACTAAATGACCTTTCCTTGGAAAAAAGGCCACAGCTCCAGAGAAGAAACTTCCAGTTACAACTTTTCTGTAAGTCTGAAATTATTTTAAGAAAACCTGGTACTTCTTAAGAACCAAAGAGTGATGCATTAGTACTCTCAATTTGAACAGGCACAACATGGATGCCATATTATTGAAGAATGGGTTCAGGTAAGAGTAAGTACGGGCACTGGGGTCAAAGAATGAATTCTGAGATTTCAAGATCCAGGAGAGGAACAAATAACATGAGAGAGGCTGAGGTGATCATTGGCGTTGAAAAGACTGAACACCTATAAAATTACAGTCCTCTAAGGAGAGTCAGGGGCCCTGATGGCACAGGGGTTAAGAACTCAGCCGCTAACCAAAAGGCCGCAGTTCCAATCCACCAGCCGCTTCTTGGAAACCCGATGGGGCAGCTCTACTCTGTCCTATGGGGTCACTAGGAGTTGGACTACATGGCAGCGGGTCCCCCAACCCCCTTCCAAGTTGAGTCAACAAGGGGTCAGGGTGAAGACAGCAATGAGACAAGTGCTGAAAGTCATCAGGAAAAGTGTGCGAGGTGTTATCTGTGCTGGAGATTGGGAAGGAGTTCGGATGAGGAAAAACCAGAGTACGGTAAAATGAACGGAGTGGACTTCAACAGAGGTTGCCTCGTAGTGACAGGACAACCGCTTGGAAAGGAAAAAACGAAGGCTTCAGAAAATTCTGGAGGAAACATTGAGAGGGTTGGGAGGGAAGAGGTGGTGTCCAAGGAGAAAAGCTGGTCACTTAAGGTGAGGTCTTGAAAAAGAAATCAGTGGAAAAGGTGGTGGTTTTGAGGAAAAATGTTTTATCATCGAATAGGGCTTACGCAGCGTCCCTTTGTAGGAACTTGCTAGGAGAAAAGAGGTGGAGGGCATGGGACAGATCTTGGGAAGAATGACTTGTGTTGGATAAGGATGACGGGATGGGCAGGGGGGGAGGGGGCTTGTTTGGAAGGTGGCTGGAGGGCCATACATAACCTCAAAGGGACAGGGGATGCTAATTGGGTAGTGATTTGTAACTGAAAGTACCCAGTGGCATTAACCAGCTATCCGATGACCCTGTCCTAACGTCTGCTGGGCGCTGTGATGCATGAGGGGTGGATCAGGGATTCCTGCGCTTTGATACACTCAGCTTCCCAGGGCTGATGGAGGCCTTAGGGATCAGAGCCCTACGTTCTCATTTCCAGATGAGAACAGCGGGGCCTGGGGAGTTTAAAAGGCCATTTGGCGCCTTTTCTGCTTCACAGTCTCTCTCTGGACTTTTAACATCTGTGAGATGCATCCCCGGGTGGAACTGAGAAACCCTGTAACGTCAGCCTCATTGCCTCGGACGCCGCGTGCTCCACCTGCGCGTCTTGGTTTCCCCGGCGCCCGCGCAGCTGACACCCGCTCTAACCAAATGAAGGGAAAGTCCCGCGGCTGACGCCACCCGGGGAGCGCTCCCGGGAGGTGAGTCACCCTGCGACGACGGCCGGCTTTTTTTGGACGCGGCGGGTTAGTCAAACCAAGCGCGCTTCTCAAGCCCACGGCCCACCAAGCACGTTCACAAACATGCAAACCCGGCGACGCTGGCGCGGCCGCACGAAGCCGCCCCCGCCACGGGCCGCCTCGCCCCATCTTCCCCGAAACCCGCCCAGCCCGAGGATGGCCCTTGCATCTGGGCCGCGGCGTCCCCCCCCAGGGCGAGAGGAAAAGAGACGTAGGCTGGGGCGAATTTCGACGCCTCCTCGTCCCCTCGTGATCCTCAAGGCGACCTACACCGCAGGCGCCACTGGACCATGAGTTCTCCGCCCCTCAGGCCGCCTCGCGCGAGAAGGCGTGGCGTTACGCATCGGGGCGTGGCGTCGCGCTACGGGGCGGGGCATGAGGCGGGGCGCGGTCGTTGCGCGCCGGGTTGTGGCGTGGCGCGAGCTGCGACGGGGCGGAACGCGCACGCGCGCAGGGGTCGCCGGGGGAAGGTGGGCGGGCGGCGCCTGGGCCTGTGGGAGTATGGACCGCGTTGTGTTGCGGTCAGAGCTGGGCGGGTTCTCCTGGGCTGGGCAGTCTGGTAGTAGAGGCGGGGAGGGTCGATGTCCGTTGTAGGAGGGGAGGCCGCGGCGAGGACACAGGGGTATCTCAGGGAGCGAGTCCTGGCCTTTCAGGACGCTCTGCTCCCTAGGGAGAAAAGGCGAGGCGAGAGTTCGGGGGGACCCCCCACTCCATCCCCAGCCTACGGCAGGGTCTTTTCTACTGGGTCTGAGCCCAAAGTGCGAGTTGCTATGGGCAGCCAGCTAGGGTGACCAATGCCTCCTGGTTTTCCCCCTAAGAATGTTTTGGTTTTAGCAATGAAGCGTCCTTGGTCTCAGGCCTGTTGAAGTGACTCTGCCTACCCCTCTGCCCGTCTTGTCCCTGGGCTGTACCCAGATCAGGCCTGGGAGGCCAGAGAAGGCCGCCTGACCTTCCACTCTGCCTTGTTTGTATTAGGGTGAAGACACCCCGAATACCACTTCCACGGTCAGGCCCCGACATGCCAGTCCTTGCAAGGTAAAAACCAATGGGAGCCTCGTCTTCTACAGGTAGGCCGGATGCAGGAGGACACAGCTCACTTTATAGTTTGTCCTGTAGGAGAGGTCATATTGCACCCATCTGTGTGGTAAGGATGATTCTATGTTCCTGTCACGACTACAGAGATCACAGATCTGGAATTCCTGATACATTCTTCAATTCTAGGATTCAGATGTTCAATCAGAATAGCCATTAGCTAAGCTTTCCCATCAATTGCCTATCATTAAACCGGAAAATCTAGATAATTAGAGAGTATGATAGGATCCAGACGGATGTTCAGTTTTTTCCTTTTCTAACTCAGCCTCGTGGTGGAACAACTGTTTGACCCATTCAAAGGGAAGGATGAAAGTTCTGCGTAGGAACACGGCGTGAATGGAAGAGGCTTGTCATTGTGAGTCTGGCTTTTGTCACCTGATGCCTTCCCCAGTTGACATGACTTTCAGGCATTAAACTTCAGTGGCTGTGATGTATCTTGTTAGCTTGCCCTTAAAGTACAGAACTGTCAGAACTTAGGTCTCTTTTTGTTTGTTATTGAGCATCATTGAGTCACATTGAAAGGGATCAGTGTTTTTCATGTGGCCCTAATGAGTCAGTTCATAATACTGTTTTTATTACCCAAATGACAGAGGGAAATTGGATATCAGGTCATGCTGTTAAACAGTCATCACTAGTTATTATAGTGGGAGCAAGTTCCATGTGAAATGGAGGAATGAATGTTGGGATTTTAGTTTCTCAGACACCCTTCCCAAGAAATTGATTGGAAATAGGGAAACCCACAGCATTAGCAATTAGTAATTTACTTTCTATTCCAGGGAAAAATTAGAGATATATATATAGAAGGCAGGTAGATGAAAGTGATTTGTGCTCGACTACTAATCTAAAGGCTGGCACTTTGAACCTGCCCAGCAGCACTGTGGAAGAAAGACCTGGCAGTCTGCTTTCCTAAAGATTACAGCCACAAGAACCCTCTGGAGCAGTTCTAATCTCTAACACATGGGGTTGCCATGGATCAAAGTTGACGCACTAGCAACAGGTTTGGTTTTTTGATTTGATGGAGAGCAGGTAGATTAGAGAGACCAGTATGGCTATGAATATTCATCTTATATTTGATGATTTGTGTCTCTTTGATAGATGCAAACCATACGGCACTCTGAACAGACACTGAGAACAGCTCTCATCTCAAAGACCCCAGCGCTTGTGTTGCAGTATGAGAACTTAGATGCTGGGGAACGGCGCTTGATGAACGAAGCCTTTCAGCCAAACAGTGCTCTCTTTGAACCTATTACCTTGCATTCGCAGTCAGATTGGATTACCTCCCATCCCGAGGCCCCTCAGGACTTTGAACAGTTTTTCAATGATGCTAAAAGAAAGACACCATCTCCAGAGAAATGCAATATCTATATACAGTCTATTGGTATATATTTGTGATATACTGGTTTTGGTTTGGTTTTGTAGTGGTGCCATTGTTGGGGAGAGTTTGAGATATTGGTCTGATTCAAGTGGGCAGTTTTTATGGTCTTACGTAACTACGCTGTATGATCATTTTTGACATTCATTGCAGTGGTAGAGGTTTTGTAGCTAAACTGCCTTTAGAGAGGATATTCTGTTTCTCTTTAATTCATATTAACATCAGTGAATGATGCCATTCATTGATGATATGTTAAGGGTGTATTGAAAAATAAGAGTTGGTTTTATTTCTAATTTATAGACTCAGGTGCAAAGACCAAATATTTTAATCATCTTAAAGTCTGTTTTAAAATTTTCTTTGATATTATAGGCTCTCTTGGGAACACCAGAATTATCAGTGAAGAATATATTAAATGGCTTAAGGGCTACTGTGAAGCATTTTTCTATGGCTTGACAGTAAAACTCCTAGAACCCATTCCTGTTTCTGCAACGAGATGTTCCTTCAGGGTCAATGATAACACAAAAAACCTACAAATTCATGCAGGTGAGTTAAACAGTTTTACACTTTGAATTGAGGAAAGAAAGTATACCTATATTAAATATATATATTATATGTACACATTTCTTTTTAAACAGGGGACATCCTGAATTTCTTAAAAAGGAAGAAGCCAGAAAATGCCTTCTGTGTTGTGGGGATAACAATGATTGATCTTTACCCAAGAGACTCCTGGAATTTTGTCTTTGGACAAGCCTCTTTGACAGATGGTACTTTTTTTTTAAAATAATAATTATTGTGTTTTCAGTGAAAGTTTACACAGCGAATTTGACAATTTCTATACAAATTGTTCAGTGACTTTAGTTATGTTTTTCACTCTGTGTCGACATTTCTCTAATTGCGTTCTGGTTGTTCCATTCCCAGTGCTCTAGTTTCCCTGCCCCCTTATCTTCTCATCTTTGCTTTTGAGTAATTGTTGACCTCCTGGTCTCATATAGATGTTTTTTTTTTAAGGATGTGTAATGAAAAGTAGAAGCTTATTTTTACTGATTTACCACAGTGTTGTTGTTGTTATGTGCTGTCAAGTCTATTCTGACTCATAGTGATCCTATATGACAGAGTACAACTGTCCAGTAGGGTATAATCCTTACGGAAGGAGATGGCCAGGTCTTTTCTCCCGTGGAGCTACTGGTGGTTTCAAACAACAGCCAAGCACTTATCCATTGTACCACCGGAGATCCTTATATCGAAGAACCCAAAATGTTTTTTATTAAACTCCGTAATACATATTAGGATATAAATTCTTTAGTTAGCAGTCAGCTCAGGACAAAGTAGGTAGACTTTTTTTTCCTCTTTATATGAATGCTTCAGTTTTTATATTTTCTTTGGCAGTTATTTGGTGATAATAATTTTACATTTGAATATTTGTCATGAAAAATACACTTAATTCTCTTTTTTTTTTTTTTGAATGTACTAGTTGTTTATTTTATTTTGTTTTTTAACAAATCCAGCTCAATATCATAGAAGGCAGTAACTTTCACAAAGTTCTGGCCCTTAATTGTGACAGTTATGTCCAATATTAGATGGAGAATGGAATAGGGAGGGAGAGATTTTTATTTTCACCATTAACTATTCAGAAGTTTGGCTTATGTAATTATTTTCTAATTAGACTTTATTTGTGGCTGGCCATTCCCATTCATTTGGTTTTAGAAAACGTTTAACGTTTGCTTGCTGTTTGCCTGGTGCTGTGCTAGTTGCTTTTACGTGCAGTGTTTCCTTTGGACCTTACGACAGGGCAAGCGTGAGGTCAGAATGGTTTTGCCCATTTTACAAATGAAGAAGCTGAGGCTTTAAGAGTGAAGTTATTTGTTAAAGTCTATCTAGCCAACTACAGCAGGTCAAGGATTTGCCTGTGTGTGCGCGTGCACCCTTGCAGACACACATACATATGTACACGCTTGAAATTCTAACTCTAGTATTTTTTTGTTTTTTCCTTTTAATGCAATTGCTGTTTCTTTCTTTTTTTTCTTTTTATTGTACTTTAGATGGTTTACGGAACAAACTAGCTTCTCATTGAACAGTTAGTACACATATTGTTTTATGACATTGGTTAACAACCTCATGACGTGTCAACACTTTCCCTTCTCAACCTTGGGTTCCCTTACCAGCTTTCCTGTGCCCTCCTGCCTTCTAGTCCTTGATCCTGGGCTGGTGTGCCCCTTTAGTCTCCTATCTTTGGCTAAAGGGTGAACCTCGGGAGCGACCATTACTGAGCTAAAACGGTGTCTGGGGGCCATACTCTCAGGGTTTCTCCAATCTCTGTCAGGCCAGTAAATCTGGTCTTTTTTGTGAGTTAGAATTTGATTCTACATTTTTTTCCATCTCTGTCCGGGACTCTCTACTATGATCCCTGTCAGAGCAGTCAGTGGTGGTAGCCGGGCACCATCTAGTTGTACTGGACTCAGTCTGGTGGAGGCCGTGGTAGTTGTGGTGCGTTAGTCCTTTGGACTAATCTTTCCCTTGCATCTTCGGTTTTCTTCATTCTCCTTTGCTCCAGATGGGGTAAGACCAATGGAGTATTTTAGATGGCCACTCACAAGCTTTTAAGACCCCAGACGCTACTCACCAAAGTATCATATAGATGGTTTTTTTTTAAAAAAAAATTTTTAATTTTTATTTTATTGTTGTAGTTTAAGTGAAAGTTTACAATTCAGGTTAGTCTCTCATACAGAAATGTATGCATACATTGTTACGTGATTCTAGTTGCTCTCCCTATACTGATAGCACATTGCTCCTTTCTACCCCTGATTTCCCATGTCCATTCAGCTAGCTCCTGACCCTCTCTGCCTTCTCATCTCACCTCCGGACAGGAGCTGCCCATTTAGTCTCATGTATCTACCTGAGCTAAGAAGCACCCTCTTCACAAGTATCATTTTATGTCCCACAGTCCAGTCTAATCTTTGACTGAAGAGTTGGCTTCAGGAATGGTTTTAGTGCTGGGTTGACAGAGAGTCCAGGGGCCACACTTTCTGGGATTCCTCCAGTCTCAGTCAGAGCATTAAGTCTGGTCTTTTTACTAGAATTTGAGTTCTGCACCCCACTTTTCTCCTGCTCCGTCAGGGACTCTCTGTTGTGTTCCCTGTCAGGGCTGTCATTGGTGGTAGCCGGGTACCATCTAGTTCTTCTAGATGCAGTCTCTGGTTTATGTGGCCCCTTCTGTCTCTTGGACTAGTACTTTCCTTGTGTCTTTGGTGTTCTTCATTCTCCTTTATTCCAGATGGGTTGGGACCAACTGATGCATCTTAGATGGCTGCTCACTAGCTTTTAAGATCCTAGACAAACTCACCAAGGTAGGATGCAGAACATTTTCTTAATAAACTTTGATATGCCAGTTGTTATATAGATGGTTTTTTAATGGAGCACCGCACACACCGGTAATAGCTTTTATTTTGTGTACCGACCTGTTATTTTATTAAAAGGTGATCTTGGGATAGTTTCAGTTCAGGGTTTAAAGATATCTCAGGGCACTAGTCTCAGGGAGTCTTCTAGTCTCAAGTGGTACAGTAAGTCTGGACTTTTTTAAAAATTTGAGTTTTGTTCCACAGTTTTCTCCCATTCTGTCAGGGTCCAACTGTTGTGCCCCTGATCAGAATGATCGGTAGTAGTACATGGGCACCGTCTAGTTCTTCTGGTCTCAGGGTGGATAAGGCCATCGCTCATGTAGGCTCTTAGCCCTGTAGACTAATTTTGTCTCTGAGACTGTGGTTTCCTTCTTTCTCTTTCACTTCTGGTGAGTAGAGACCAGTAGTTGTATCTTAGATGGCTGCTTGCAAGCTTTTAAAACCCTAGGCACTGCTTACCTCACTAGGATGCAGAACATGAACTTTGTGAATTATATTATGCCAATTGACTGAGTTGTCCCATGAGACTAAGATCCTAAGTCTTCAAATGCAGAAAACCAGTTTCTCAAGGTGTTGTCTGATAAGTATGTGACTGTCTCCTCTATGAATATATATGCATGCACACACATCTCTCTGTTCACATACATGTAGATACTTCTGTCTGTGCACCCATATGTATACATCTGTACCTAACCATGCACATACATGCTTATACAAATACATATGTGACCATACACTCGTTTTTTTGGTTATTGTTGGTGCAATGGTATTTCTTTTTGACATTGTTGGTAGAAACATTCTCAACTTGAGAATATTTGAAAATGTTAAAAGAGGGACAAAATTCCAACAGCTATAATTTTGATATTTAAAACTGTATGGTATTCAATAAAATTGACAAACCTTTAGCTAGACAGACAAAGAAATTAACCAAACTTAAAAATAAAAGAGGGGACATTACAACTGACCTGATATAAATGGACAGACTATTATGAACAACTGTATGGTAAGAAACTGGATAACCTAGATGAACTGGACAGATTCTTAAAAGCAATTCTTCAGTAGCACACAACCTACCCAAACTGACTCATGAAAATAGAAAGTCTCAGCAGACCCATAAAAGTGAAGAGTTTGAATCAGTGATCAAAAACCTCCCAACCAAAAAAAGTACTGGATCAGATGGCTTCACTGGGGAATTCTACCAAACATTTAGAGAAGAATTGACACCAATACTGTTTAAACTCTTCCAAAAGATAGAGAAGGAAGGAATACTCCGTAATTCATTCTGCGAAGCAAACATAACCCTGATTCTCAAACAAGACAAAGACACCACCAGAAAAAAAAAAAAAGGCGGATGTCTCTTATGGATATAGATGCAAAATTCCTCAACAAAATACTAGCAAACAGAATCCGACAGCATTTTACAAAAGTCATACACCATGACCAAGTGGAATTTATTCCAGGAATGCAGCGATGGTCCAACATTAGAAAATCAGTCGATGTAATACACCACATCAGTAGAACAAAGGAAAGAACCACATTATCATTTCTATGGATGCAGAAAAATCGTTTGATAAAATCCAACACCGTTTCTTGATGGAAAACCCTAAAGAAGATTGGAATAGAAGGGAAGTTTCTCAGTATGATTCAAAGTATATAGGAAAAGCCAACAGCCAACATTATACTTAATGGAGAAAGACTGAGAACTTTCCCCTTGAAATCGGGAACAAGACAAGCATGCCCAGTCTTACCGCTTCTGTTTAATATTGTATTAGAAGTCCTAGCCAGAGCAATAAGACAAGAAAAGAAATAAAAGGTATCCAGATTAGAAAAGAAGAAGTAAAATTATCTCTATTCGTGGATGATATGAATCCTATATATAGAAAATCCCAAAGAGTGCACAAGAAAACTTTGATAGCTAATAGAGGAATTTAGCAAAGTTGCAGGGTACAAGGTCAGCAAAATCAGTTGGGTTTCTATACACCAGCAATGAGAAATCTGAAAGGAAAATTAAGGAAACAATTCCATTTACAATAATATCTAAGAGAAATAAAATGCATAGGAATAATTTAACCAGAGAAATGAAGGACTTATACAATGAAAACTATAAAACTGCTAAAAGAGATTAAAAAAGAGTTAAATAAATGGAAAGATGTTCCATGTTCATGGACTGGAAGACTTAATATTGTTAAAATGTCAGTACTACCTGTCTTAGTTATCTAGTGCTGCAATAACAGAAATATCACAAGTGGATGGCTTTAACAAACAAGGTTATTCTCTCACAGTCTAGTAGGTTAGAAATCCAAATTCAGGGTGCCAGCTCCAGGGGAAAACATTCCTCTCTTGGCTCTGGGGAAGGGTCCTTGTCATCA